TTGTGTGAAAAGGGAAGCGTGCAGGCAGCTTGAATTTTTTTTCTGGCCCTGAATTCATCTCTGTGATGAATGAATGTGTGTGAAGTATAGGGAGAGAAATTGCAAGATCGTCGGAATTAAAAAAAAAAAAAAACTACCCCAATGGAAAAAGGTGAAATTAATTTTGCCTCTTAGATGAATAAAGGCAGTTAATTTTTCAAGGATTAAATAAAAGATTTGCAAATGTCTTAACTACATGAATATTAAACTATTAAATAAAAATCCAGATGTGGTGGCACACACCCAAACTCCTACTACCTTAGAGGCTGAGGCAGGAGAATCACTACAAATTCAGGATCATCCTAGGTTATAGGCAGCGTAAAACCCTGTCTCAAAGTAGGGGGAAGAGCTCAATTTTAGTTTTAAGAGTTTCAGTGGCTGGGCGGTGGTGGCGCACGCCTTTAATCCCAGCACTCAGGAGGCAGAGCCAGGCGGATCTCTGTGAGTTCAAGGCCAGCCTGGTCTACAGAGCGAGATCCAGGACAGGCACCAAAACTACACAGAGAAACCCTGTCTTGAAAAACCAAAAAAAAAAAAAAAGAGTTTCAGTATTATATTTCATGTCTTCCCTCTCCCACGCTTGTTACCGGAAATTCTGGGGAGTCCCATGGGAGTTGCCACCTGTTACTAGGGAAATCAGAGTCCCCTCTTGAGGTTCTTCGTCTCATTAATAAAAGAATTTAAGAACCTCAAAGGGAAGCTGGAGGAAATTTTATTAGAGTTTAAAAGAGAAAACCCAATGCAGGCAAGCTGTAAATCGTGCCGGCTGCCCAGAGGAAGATGAAGAAGTGGAAGAGAAAAAAAGCCATACCATTTTTGTTAAGCAGACTTAGAGGTCAGTCACATGGTTACAAGCGGCAGCATGGCCAGGAGGGGAGCTTTAGAGGAAGAGTAAGGAAGCCCAGAGTACCAGAGAACTTGTATCAGGCCAGCCTCCGGAAGAAAAACAAAGAGGAGAAGAAGAGGGGAAAGATGGACGGTTCTGAGTCAGGACTCCTGGAGAACCTCCTGGGGAATTTGCAACTGCTGCACTAGGGACCAGGAATTTTTCAAAGGGAAATGTACATTATCTCATTAAAGGGTGGGTTATTTCTCCCTCTCTTCAGCATGGATTAAGGTGAACCTGCCTTCCTTAGCCACGTGATTGTCTGGCCCAGTTGGATTAAGGTTTAAAGATGAAGACAATGGCATGTCCCCAGCCCAGAGGTAGATTCCATTGTTTTGGGCTAGCAGGCCACAATTTTCTCTTAATGGGCTTTTAATAAAGATAATAGAAATTACACGTTCAGTCAAAACCTAAGTGTGGTGGTGCATGCCTTTAATTCCAGTACTTGAGAGGAAAATGCAAACTGATCTCTTGAGTTCAAGGCCAGCGTTGAGTTCAAGGCCAGCGTGGTCTACACAGAGAAATCATGTCTCTAAAAACAACAAAAAGCTGAGTAAAGAACTTCCTGGAGCTTGAAGTGAGAGGAGACAAGCTTTGTACATACATGACTTAAAAAGCTTGCATGCTGTTAATCACTAAGATTTGAGGACACAGACCACAGACACAAATCATCATGGTCAAATTTATTAAAGTAAGCTTTTTATCCATGTATACAAGCTCCCTTCCCCTAAGGTGGGGTTCAAGAGGTCAGCCTTGGACATGAGGAAGACCAGGACTTCAAGCTCAGGGGCTGGGGGTTTCCAAATGGAGGATTTGGCAGGCAAATTACAGAATTACAGGGTAGTCATAACAACTTTTTGGTAGGATTTCGAGATGGTCATTACAACTTTTTGAAACAAAGACATGATTGCTTTTTCCTGGAACAGGTAGTACAGAGCCATTTGCAGTTAAGCTTACAGCCAATCCTTGAGAAACAGAGATTTAATTACAAACAGGAATGAACCTAGTTTGTCTTTACTATAAGATGGCTTTCAAGCCTAAGACAGAGGCCGGGCGGTGGTGGCGCACGCCTTTAATCCCAACACTTGGGAGGCAGAGCCAGGTGGATCTCTGTGAGTTCGAGGCCAGCCTGGGCTACCAAGGGAGTTCCAGGAGAGGCGCAAAGCTACACAGAGAAACCCTGTCTCGAAAAACCAAACAAACAAACAAAAAAAAAAAGACAGAGGCAGGCTGGTTCAACAGTGCTTATGTGTAAGTGAAGTAATTGTGGACATAGCTCAGAGGGGGATATTGTCTTGTGTGTAAGGCTTTGCTAAAACTGAGATGATCCAGGATGAATTAACTAAATGACATCAGAATGGCAAACTTGAAGTCAGCAACACCTCCAACTTGCTTCCCAGGACAGCTAATAGGTCTCCAGTATCAGGTTCTCCCACTTAATTATCTTTGATCACACTGTGAAACCCGAGAAGCAGAGGGAAGAACATTCAGTTTGAGGGGTCTGGTTTGAGACAGTGTCAGAGAAAAAGAGGTTTTGGGGATGTCAGCTGAGGAGGAAGATGAGCTGGGTGCTTTCTCTGCCTCTCTCAGCTAACAGACTTTCACCCTAGCATCTGGCTCCTGAGTCTTTATTGGTAAAACTGAATGACTGAGATTTTGTTAAAAACAACACTTAAAAGCCCGGCGGTGGTATCACACACCTTTAATCCCAGCACTCAGGAGGCAGAGGCAGGTGGATCTCGGTGAGTTTGAGGCCATCCTAGTCTACAGAGTGAGTTCCAGGACAGGCTCCAAAGCTACACAGAGAAACTCTGTCTTGAAAAACAAACACAAACAAACAAAAAATAACACTTAATGATCTTCAATGACTGTTAATTTTTTACAGATGACCTTCCAAGCCTTTGTAATATGCTTTGTGTATTTAGGGATTCAATCTTGGACCAAAATTATTCACACACAAAAGACATCTTGTTGGCTGGAGAGATGGTTCATCAGTTAAGAGTGCTTGCAGCTCTTCTGGAGGACCCAAGTTCAGTTTCCAGCACACATTTAGTGGCTCATAACTGCCTATAACTCCATATCCCAGGGATCCAACATCCCCTTCTGACTTCCACAAGCATACACACTCATATGTGCATGCATATACACATACAATTAAAAAATACAAGTACATTCTAAAAAAAAATAATAATAAAGTGCCTGTACTCAACACTCCCTAAACAATATAGCATGACAACTATGCAATATTTACACTGTATTACGTATAAGTAATCTAGATTTGATTTCTCACATACGGGTGGATTTGTATACATTATACGCAAACACTAGGCCATTTTAGGAAAGAGAAGTAAGTACCCACAGAATTTGGTATCTTGGAACAAATGCTCATCAATACCCCAGGGAAACCTGTAGCAGTTTCTCAGCCATCTCTTTGTGTAAGAATGACCTGGGAAACTTATTTCAATGCAATTTCTTTCTCTCAATCTCCATTTTGAATTTTAATAGCATTCAGAGGTGTTAAGTACACGTTTCCTCTAGATTGAAACATCTCTTCCAGGAGGAATGAAGGAGGTTCTAGAAGCTCAAGAAACAAGACTACAGAAGCTCAAGAAAATTGTAAGACTCTTTTTTTTCAAGACAGGACTGA